TGTTTTCCTGCCTACTTGCTATTGTTTAGCTTCTCCCTGTTTTTCTTCTTTCTTCAGTCCTTGTTCTTTTAAAAATAGATTTTTATTCCTATTTCATCTTTTTGACAATCCTAAACATAAGAGCTCTAAAGACTTTCACATGGTATTAACATTTTTATCTTGTTGGACTAAACTGGTCTTCTGACCGTTGATTTTGTGAGCTGTTTGTCTTAGTTTTCTTTGTATATTTTGGACTTTGGAGTTGAAAGGTACTTAAAAACATATATTTGGTCAGATTAATTGAGTACATGCTGTAAAAGTCACCCTTTTAGGTATTTAGTTCAAAGAGTTTTGACAAATATATACAATTCTGTAACCACTAGCATAACCAAAATAAATAATATTTGCATCACTTCAGATTTTCCTCCTGCCCTTTGTAGTCTGTCTCCTTTCCAAATTCTGAGCCCTGGCAACCACTGATATGCTTTCATCTCTTCAGTGTTGCCATTTTTATTTTTATTTTATTTTATTTTGAGACAAAGCCTCAAGCTGTCCTCCTGGGTAGAGTTCTGTGGCATCACAGCTCACAGCAACCTCCAACTCCTTGGCTCAAGCGAGTCTCCTGCCTCAGCCTCCCAAGTAGCTGGGACCACAGGCGCCCGCCATAACACCTAGCTATTTTTTGGTTGCAGCCATCGTTGTTTGGCGGGCCCAGGCTAGATTCAGACCCACCACCTTATGTGTATGTGGCTGGTGCCTTAGCCACTTGAGCCACAGGTGCCGAGCCAGTGTTGCCATTTTTAAACTGTCAGATAGTATGACATAGGTTTTTGTGAATGGCTTCTATCATTTAGCATGATGCTTTTGAGTTTATCACTGTTGTTGCCTGCGTCTGAAGTTTGTTCCTTTTTATTATTGGGTAGATTACATTGTAAGGATGTACCACAATTTGTTCATCCATTCACCTGCTGATGAACACTTGGGTTGGTTTCAGTTTTGGTAATTATGAATAAATCTGCTCTAAACATTCACATGCAGGGCAGCACCTGTGGCTCAGTGGGTAGGGTGCTGGCCCCATATACCAGGGTGGTGGGTTCTAACCTGGCCCCGGCCAAACTGCAACAAAAAAATAGCTGGGTGTTATGGCAGGCGCTCGTAGTCCCAGCTACTCAGGCGGCTGAGGCAAGAGAATTACTTAAGTCCGGGAGTTAGAGGTTGCTGTGAGCTGTGACGCCACAGCACTCTACCGAGGGCAGTAAAGTGAGACTCTTGTCTCTCTAAAAAAAAAAATGAAAAAAAAATTCACATACAGATCTTTGTATGTATAGATGTCTTTATTTCTCTTAGGTAAACACCTAGGAATAGGGTTCCAGGTCTATGGTAAGTATATGTTTAACTGAGTAAGAAACCACTGAACTGTTTCCAAGGAGACTACATCATTTTTGTGTTCCTACCAGCAATGCTTGAGAATTCTATTCTCTCTGCATCCTTACCAGCACTTGGCATTTTCAGCTCTTTAGGTTTAGCCACTCTTGCAGGTGTGGAGTGGTATTTCATTATAGTTCTAATGTGCATTTCTCCGGGTACTAATGGCCTTTCCATGTCCATGTTACCTGCTATTCATATTTATTCTTTGGTGAAGTGTTTGTCTAAATTATTTACTCATTTTAAAAATGAGGTTGGTTGTATTCTTCTTACTGAGTTGTAAAAACTCTTATATATTTTGGATAAAGCCTTTTATCAGATGTGCTTTGCACCTTTTTTTTTGTTGTTTTTGAGACAGAGCCCCAAGTTGTTGTCCTGGGTAGAGTGCTGTAGCATCACAGCTCACAGCAACCTCCAACTCCTGGGCTCAAGTGATTCTCCTGCCTCCACCTCCCAAGTAGCTGGGACTACAGGTGCCTGTCACAATGCCTGGCTATTTTTTGGTTGCAGTCGTCATTGTTGTTTGGTG